TATAATATTCCTGTAGTACAATATATAATATTTCAGTAGTACAGTATAATATTCCAGTAACACAATATATAATGTTTTAGTTGTACAGTGTATAATATTTCAGTAACACAGTATATAATATTTCAGTAACACCGTATATAATATTCCAGTAACACAGTATATAATATTCCAGTAACACAGTATATAATATTTCAGTAGTACAGTATATAATATTCCGGTAGTACAGTATATAATGTTTTAGTTGTACAGTGTATAATATTTCAGTAACACCGTATATAATATTCCAGTAACACAGTATATAATATTTCAGTAGTACAGTATATAATATTCCAGTAACACAGTATATAATGTTTTAGTTGTGCAGTATATAATAGTCCAGTAGTACAGTATATAATATTTCAGTAGTACAGTATATAATGTTTTTGTTGTGCAGTATATAATAGTCCAGTAGTACAGTATATAATACTCCAGTAACACAGTATATAATGTTTTAGTTGTGCAGTATATAATAGTCCAGTAGTACAGTATATAATACTCCAGTAACACAGTATATAATGTTTTAGTTGTGCAGTATATAATAGTCCAGTAGTACAGTATATAATACTCCAGTAACACAGTATATAATATTTTAGTAGTACAGTATATAATATTTTAGTTGTACAGTATATAATAGTCCAGTAGTACAGTATATAATGCAGTATTTACTTTACATAAACTGTGAAGTATTATATTGAAGTTTAAGTTTTAACATATTCTAGTGCTAAAATAAATTAAATGATTGGGTAAAAGTAATAAGAACGTTATTAACGCTCTTTCCTATTATATAACTTCTATTTCAGACTATGTTTAAAGAATTCCAGATTACGAATTCTACGACGATGATTGATTGACGAAATGGCACGCGACTGTGCATATATGTATTTTGACAATCCGCCCAAATTGGTTTTTGCGTTGCCTACTAAGTTAAGGAAAACAGCTTACCTTTAATTGTTAATGGGAAAGTTTTATAGCTTTGTAACGAAAAGTGTAAATATGATGTCCATTTCAACTGAAACATCACCTGTTTTGGACTCTAATTATAAAGTATGAATCTTTGATGACAATCATAGATGTAGATCTAGACCTTTGTGTATGAAGGTTAGAGGCTAAAGGTCAGCGACTGAAGGTTAGGTCAGCAAGTTACGGTTGTCAAGTATCGAACAGATAAAACATTTATATTTTACTGTCAATGTAGATAGAATACTGCGTGATTTAAACAGTAGTCCAAGGTCAAAATTATCACCAGATGTTATCTATTCAATAGCTCACGTGACAATAACGTTTGTTACTACTGGATAAACATTGACCAATCAAAAAGTTTAGTACCAAATACAGAAAGTTCAGAAATATTTCCTATGTGTTTTATCATACACTTAACACCGGTAACAAAATACACTTAACACCGGTAACCAAGGCCACAACAACAACACATATCTCGGTTGATGCTAGCTACATTTCACATTGATACGAAACGATTCTGTAAGATAGATCATTTCTGTGGATTATTTATTTTTGTCTATTATCTGTGGACTCCTCACCAACGAATTTACATATTCTGTTTATGTCCACGAATAGATTTAAATATTATAATTAGTATCAGCATTTCTCGTAGGTGCTATATTTCCGTGTAATCAACTGCCTACTGCATATTCTACATTATAAGTCGTATTTTTTTAATCCACAACTTTTGAGTCCCACGAAAACAGAAGATTTTAAAGGGTTGTTTTAATTTTTGTGCTAACACCGAAGTGCACTTATATTTCAGTTGCTACAAACGCTACTATTTAAACTTCCCAAATTGACGTCTGTGCATTGATAAAAGTTAACGTTTTCAGTTTTATTCTGGAAGAATCTGTAACATATCACTTTGTAGATAATTAAATAAAGACGATATCGCTGATGAATCTACCAATCAATGACATTTAGTTGTTTATAAACAGACAATGTAGCATAACTTTGTTCAGTTAAATTGGTTTCGGTATACCATAACCAGTAGAAGATTAGAATGTGACGTTTCGATAATTACACAGTCACTTTCATCAGACAAATAAACAGAGTGGAGCGTTCTAGAACTGACGTACGTAATGTACGAGATGGTAAGGAATCGACCAACGTTTTCGGTTGTACATGTCGAAAATAATACATAGGATCATAGTACAGACGAAAACGTTGGTCGATTCCTTACCATCTCGTACACTACGTACGTCAGTGCTAGAACGCTTCACACTGGTCATTTGTCTGATAAAGGTGACTGTGTTGTTATTGAAACGTCATACTTCAATCTTCTACTGTTTGTGTCATAAGATCTTCTGTTCTGTTGACATTACCAACCTGAGGAATATGTTCCGAGATAAGTGTGGATGATTGAAATCGACAAGGTAAGAGGCGTCGTTCTAGGACACGTTTATTTTCATTTGTTCATTTATTTATTTCTTGAATTTTTAAAACGCATAAAGTTTTGAGAAAAATGTGAAATTGACTTCAATTTTTTAAGATCTCTTAATGGAACGTGTGTTGGATTTTGCATAGTCACCACCTAAAATTAAAAATGATGACTGAAGTGTATAGTACTTGTTTATTAGTGACAAATCTTACCTTTGATGTCATTTTTTATGTTTTATTGACATAATGAAAATTTGTTATAGAGAGTCAATCCTCGCCTAAGATGAATCATTTTCTAATCCCCTTGGTGATGGTGAAAGGGGTACGGATGGGGATGGGTTTGGGTCACTCTCATAATCCATTCGCAGAAATCTAGCCCACTCCACAATGTTTCGGTTTTGGTATGTAAAAGGCAAAAAAACATTGTCGTTGTAAATGAGGAATGTTTCTAATTTAATATACATATTTAAAAATGGGTTACATGCATGATAAAACTAAATTCCGTGAATGTGTATAAATTCATCACCGTCTCGTATCAAGGCTAAGGTTCACTCCTATAATGTTCCTTTTTATTTATGATGCATACAATGAATTATTTATGATGTATGTTGGGTCGGATTACCTTGCAAATATCCGGGTACTTGATGACGTCAAAACAAAAAGAGATGGGATATCATATCTGCCCTGATTTGTAAAACTGTCTCTTCAAATTGAAAGCTTATGCTAATTAATTGCGAGATCTATACAATTATATCAAATCGGTCTATGTATTAAATTACAAGATTTGGCGGAATCGGTCACGTGATCTTGCACGTGATTGCTTGCGTGTCACTGATAACACGAAACTTCTGCTTTATGAAGGACACTGATAGACACGAGACTGCCGCACACGTGTTCTTTGAACACGGACTGTGTCATGATATTCGTGAAGTACTGCAGGATTCTTCAAGTTGTTTTAGTTTACACTTAACAGCATATTCAGTGCGTTTAAAAAGTTATGTTTTTATTCAAATTAGATGCTTAAGATTTAAATGTAAATAGTGTATAATTTGCAAATTGCAAATTAGTTTGATAAAAATACGATTGTATAGTGTTGTCCTAGTGAAAGTCATACACACGGAGCCGTGACACTTCATGCGGTCACATTTAGGATTACCGATTGACAAGGTCAGTGGACATAAGTTGGATTATCGGTCGGGGAGAGATCTCAAAACCATTATGGTGTGGGGTAATGGGTCAAGAGGTATAACTCACAGGCATAACGGGGTAATGAATCAAGAGATGTAACTCACAGCCATAACGGCGGTAATGAGTCAAGAGATGTAACTCACAGCCATAACGGCGGTAATGAGTCAAGAGATATAACTCACAGCCATAACGGCGGTAATGAGTCAAGAGATGTAACTCACAGCCATAACGGCGGTAATGAGTCAAGAGATGTAACTCACAGCCATAACGGCGGTAATGAGTCAAGAGATGTAACTCACAGCCATAACGGCGGTAATGAGTCAAGAGATGTAACTCACAGCCATAACGGCGGTAATGAGTCAAGAGATGTAACTCACAGCCATAACGGCGGTAATGAGTCAAGAGATGTAACTCACAGCCATAACGGCGGTAATGAGTCAAGAGATGTAACTCACAGCCATAACGGCGGTAATGAGTCAAGAGATATAACTCACAGCCATAACGGCGGTAATGAGTCAAGAGATATAACTCACAGCCATAACGGCGGTAATGAGTCAAGAGATATAACTCACAGCCATAACGGCGGTAATGAGTCAAGAGATGTAACTCACAGCCATAACGGCGGTAATGAGTCAAGAGATATAACTCACAGCCATAACGGCGGTAATGAGTCAAGAGATATAACTCACAGCCATAACGGCGGTAATGAGTCAAGAGATATAACTCACAGTCATAACGGCGGTATTTGGTCGAGAAAACGTTTATTGCATTAAAAAAAAGGCACAGAGAAAGATTTTTCTGCAATTTTAATTTTGCCGACTGCATAAGTCACACTGGACGTTTTTTATCCGATTATAAACAAAGATACGTAACACTGAGAAATGCAATTTAATGTAGGACTTAATAAAGTTAAGGAACGTTTAACCTCTCTGATGTCGTTTCGCTGTACTTCGACTAGCTCTAGGTGGCGCTGACCGTTCAGATGATGACATTCCGTCTCAACGTTAATTACTTACCAGACAGTTACACAGGCAGATAACACACCGGGCGTGTAAACCACACGCATCGTTTAGTACGACGTCGTGTTTTGCGATCATTGCTCTCGTTTGTGGCCCATGAGCGTTAATCTAGCAATTTTTTATGTACAGAGTATTTAGAAGTAATTTGTTACAATGGTTGTACCTATATATAAACCTTTTTACCCTTATTTGTTTTCTTCTTCTTCTAAGGTTCCTGAGTGTACGGGAAGGACCAGAAACATTACTTATAGTGTTTCAGTTGACAGAGTACGAGTTTTGTCGTCATTTTTGTTTTCTTTAATATGAAAGTGTGCATCAGTGCCAGTCTTTCACGCAAACCGTGATAATGGGTTTCCTTTTTATATTTTCCAGGACAGAACGTTGAGAAGACAAAGTGTGGATGTTTCTAGAAACCTGAAGTCATCATGTTGAATAACAAAGACGCTCGTCGAGCACAACTAGCTGCCATGCTGCCACTTCCGGCATGTTTGCCCGATGGCCGTCACGTGCTAGTCAGTTACATGACCGGATGTCAACTTACAGAAACATACGACATGATTCAGACATGCGCTGAACAAAGTGATGGTTTCGGACTCGATGAGTTCCGAAATGAAGATGAGTTCCGGAATGAGGTAGGAACCTCGGACTGTTTCGCGATTGTCGGAAAGGAATCGGGAAATATGTTAGCGGCTTTCATTCTGACTGTAAGTAGATTTTACAGAGGGTCATCTGGTGCAGTTGACCCATACATACTTGTGCATCCGTCAGAACGGAGGAAAGGAATTGGCCTTTTTTGTCTACAGACAATTGTTGAGTTTTCACAAAGACTTGGCTTTGACGCCATGTATATTGACACGTTCTGCAACAACGAAGCAATGAAGAAGATCTTAGACACTGTTGGTGGTTTCACACGAGTGGGTTATCTCCCCCTTGGTGGACGGCTGATGAATGGAATGGTCGTAGGATCTTTTATATATTATCGTTCCTTACTGAACAACTGTGGCATTGGTAGTGAGTGGCATCAAATCACAAACAATAACAATGCTGATTGAGTTTATACCTCTATGAATGCCATGTCAGGTATCTGTAATTCGCTTTGACTTGTGAAATGAATTCTTTCAGGTAAAATTGGATATATATATATAAGTATTCAACATCGGAGCAATCGTGAAAATTATATTCTTATTCAATATCCAACATCGCTATTTTTACTTTCCATTAGAGCAGCAAAATTACCTACATCTGTAATTTGTCACGGGAAACTACTAAAAACATTGATTCCTTAATCTTTTTTCTTATTATTTTTTTTTATTTCCCAAATGCTGTTTTCAAATTGACAGATACAGACCGGGAAAGTTAAGAATGCATACTGATGTTGTTTTATATTAAAGCAACATATGACAATTTACATATACCTAACTATATCAGTCTACATGGTTTTGTCAGTGATTATGTATTATCATGTCACCATGTATCGACCGTGTTAATCCTATATTGTGGCGCATTCCGTTTGTCGTTGACAAATTAAACATGTATGCATATATTGAATTTAATGTTTTTATGTGTATATTCTTGTATGTTTTTTGTTTGTTTTTTATATCTCATACGACTTGCATTTTAAATCATATGTTTATGCTTTGTGTAACTATTGATAAAACACTGACAAGTATATGTATCGTATCAGTGAAAACCTGATAGTTTTAATGACTATCGAAGAAAGGTTGTGTTTGTGAGGAGTGAAATGGCATGTTTTTTTATATAGTGTAGGAAAAGGATACTGCTATCTCTTGCTGTGAGGGGAGTTTTGACAATACACTTACGTTATATGTATATAGGAAATATGATTGATCGGGATTATTGGGGAGTAATGTTGGAAGGAATTAATGGGAAGTAATGTTGGGTGGGAATTAATGGGTAATCATGTTGGAAGGAATTAATAGGTATTCATGTTGGGAGGAATTAATGGTAATCATGTTGGAAAGAATTAATGGGGAGTAATGTTGGAAGGAATTAATGGGTATTCATGTTGGAAGGAATTAATGGGGAGTAATGTTGAAAGGAATTAATGGGTATTCATGTTGGAAGGAATTAATGGGGAGTAATGTTGGAAGGAATTAATGGGTATTCATGTTGCAAGGAATTAATGGGGAGTAATGTTGAAAGGAATTAATGGGGAGTAATGTTGGATAGGAATTAATGGGGAGTAATGTTGGAAGGAATTAATGGGTAATCATGTTGGAATGAATTAATGGGGAGTAATGTTGGAAGGAATTAATGGGTAATCATGTTGGAAGGAATTAATGGGGAGTAATGTTGGAAGGAATTAAGTGGAGTAATGTTGGATAGGAATAATGCGGATTTGTGTTGGATCAGATTAACGGAGTATTACATAAGATGGAAATAATACAGAACTACATTGGATGAGATTTTGGCTCTGTATATATAATTGTAGATGGCAATGCTTAATATTTTGTAGTTCATCATTATATAAGATATATTGTCATTATATCGGGGTTAAAAAACTTGAAATTTAGGAACAAAAATGAACCAGTCGAGTATGCTGACTGCTGTTAAGTGGTTAAGAGACGAGAGGCCTTCTATCGCGATTTTACCGTTGATACCATGTGATGTTGATTGATCATTAAATACATTGATAAAACGCATTGCGGATTGACAAGTAGGAATTCCCTGTTACTGGGAACTCTTTCTCCTCAGCTGTTATCGAAGTAGACAGAATTAATTGGCGTGTTATCCGGCTATCGGCATGGGGCCAAACTTAAGTGGTATTGAGTTCACTTGTCTCATGGCTCATGATCTTTCACCATTTGGAGCGCGTCTGGTTGTTACTGATACAAGTTTAATCAAAGGTACATTTAAGGCTATCGATTTTTTTGTTCTTGGATTCATGGTAAATAGTATCGTGACTAAGTGACACTCTGAGGAAATATTTGACGAATTGAAGATTTCTAGGATGATGGATGTATCGGTTCCCATATAGTTCTGGTGATGTATTCTTCAGTTACATAGTTGTTAAACTTGCCCCGAATTACAGTAAAACCTTCATTTACACAATACCGTATATATGTCACCATGCTGTTTAATTTCCATTTTAAAGTTGCCACATTCACATTTACAGCCTGGTCATGTGTCAACTAAAAATGTCTTCTTTTTTAACAGAATGAATTTAACAAAATCTTGACTCCTTAATTAGGAAAAAACAATCATGTGTGAAAGATTGGTGCTAACGTTGTCATGAGGAAAGCATTGAATACTATAATGTCATAGCACTATTATAAACAAAAACAAAAAATACCCCCACATATCTTTAACTGTAGTAAAATTGTAGCTACGGACTTAAACATATTTAAGGACTGGAGTAAGTCAGGTCAATATTTGTTGACATCTGATAAGTGTATTGTTTGTTGGGATTATCATCCTGTAAGCAGTCAAGGTCATATTGAGGAAGCGTCTTCTTGTCATAATTAGTGTTTATTTCACTGAACAACATACGGGAGGTCCGTCGCACGACTCTCAGATCAGTAAGAGTTAAGTGTCTTGCCAAATGACACAACATTAGCAGGAAAGACCGGTCCGGTTCTCAGCTTGCAAGAGCAAGGGAGTCTCGAACCACGATCCTCAACTGATATTACACAGATATGGTGATGTTATTGAGTCAAAGTGATTACGAATCGTTCTAATACATTTACTTCAAATAAAAGGCGTTTTAAAATTTTAATATTAGTTACAATCAAGTCATAATATTGAAATATATCTTTTATGTATTTGATTGTGGCCGTTTCATAAAATGTGAAATCCGTAAAATTTTCAACCAAACGTTTTTATAAAAAAGATTGCTATGGTGAAAATAAAGAAATGCTCGGGAAATGGTTCATATTCACTACGGCAGTACTATGGAGATGGTACGAAAATGGTACGCCTTAACTGGAACAAAAACACAAAAAACGTGCTTGGGTCTAGACATACAATGTATACACGCTTGACGAGATGTTTCTTTGATAGTTACTTGAGTAACATGGTGTGGTTTACATTCAACCTCAATTTTTTTTTTTTTTTTTAGTTTTTCGCTCCTTATGGCTGCTGATATCATTTTTAATTGTAAAAATACGTAACGAACCAGAGTTATTGTTCGTGATGGAACGTAAGGAACGATAACTCTTGGTAGGAACCTTGCCGTCTCCGACACGGGCTGATAATGGAATAGAATATGCATTCATATTGTGGTATCACTTGTATCACTCTGTGTAATAACTGTCGTCAATGGTTTACCGAAAGTGTGTTTCTCTGAAAAAATATATTTTATCATTGATCAACTATAGACTTCATTTTCAACACAACGAATTTGTTGGGGGGAAAAGTATTGAACAATTTTGCATTTTTTGTTTCTTTATCAATATGTGCCCTGCACGTTTCTGTGTCAGAAGAGTGACTTGTCCACTTTCCCTCACACAATGTATGATTTATTTTCATGGTAAATGCCTTATGTATTTGTATTAAATATATAACATTTTGTATTGACGAAGTCTGTCTGTGTTGTATTTTATCTCCCTTTTCAGGGCTTTCATAAGAAATTCAAAGTCTGTCAAAAGTTTTAGGGCATTTGAGTTACAAACCTTAATATAAGTACGAATGTATTGACAGAGGAGGCAGTACCTATGGTCCAACACCACTGTTTCGGTATTTTTTATGTATTCTAAACTCTTTTTAGGCGTGGCTGTTTAGGTCAACTGACCCGAATAGTCATTGTGGGTCGTCTGTCGTCGTCCGCCGTGCGTAAACTTTTGACATCATAAACTTCTTCTAAAGTTTCATCAGTGATTCTGACCAAGTGTTGCTATTTTTCGAGTATGTCTGAAATCCAAGATGGCCGCCATGGACGCAATCTTGAAAAACAGTTCCACTAATGCCATTGAGCTGAAATTGGTTGGGGGACGTTAAGGAAATGTAGCCAACAAAGTGTTGTTTTCTTTCGACCTTGCCAGAACTTCGACACAGCAGCCAGGGAGGCCATGTTGTAACATGCTTGCGCAATCATGGTTTTCCTGTGCAACACCTATTTCAAACTTCTCAAGTTTCACCAGTTGGATTGAGCTCCAACTTTACAGTTAAAAATAGGTAACACTTGTTACAGTTACCTACTCCTAACCAAAACTACCATCTGCATCATGGAAAACAGTTTTTTTTGTAAGATTTCATTCAAAGTAGAAAAATATCAATTCTCCCTGCAGAAAATGTTTGTAGTCAGATGACCGTTAACGCAGGTGGGCCTCTTGTTTACCTTGTATTTGTATATACGAAAATTATTATTCATCGTGGTTTATCCGCTTGTCCCGTTTACATTTCAATGGTATGGTTAAGCCTATTTATTTCTATGTTCAAATACTGTTCCAAGGTTATACAGTAAAGGGAGTTAACTCTGTCAAAATTCTAATTAAAATTCAGTCTAGACCGCAACTCCAGATACAGTAGTACAGTAATTACGGTCTTATAATCATTCGCCGTTCAAGGCCATTGTACTCTGAAACAATCTCTGGCATTTAGCTATTACAGAAGCCAACGACTGAATGGAGGCTGATCCTGAGGAGAAAACAAATAATGGGTTGTAAATTTCTGTGTCGTCTCTCGAGTAATGAGTTCATCAATGCACTTTTCTATTCTTCACATTAGCTGTCCCTAAATAGTTGATTTCAAATCGAACGTATCAATGTAATTATGTTTACATTTTCTTACAAAATTTTTCTCTTTAATTTATTTTCTTGATCTTATCGTTTGAATGTTACATCAGAACCAAACACGAGTATTAATAACAAGATATTTAATTAACCAAGTCGATTTCCGGAAAATTTGGTTCATTATAAGGAGATTGGTGCGAGATGTTATAGGTTAATCGCGAACTTTCTTACAACGTTGTGATTAACACCATTTTGATTAGTCTTTCAGCGTCACGTGGACATGTGCGTTCTCAAGAACACTGCTGCTAACTAGTCAAAAAGTGAAAACGTGACGATGTTTTGAACATGTGAGTTCAAGTCACGAAGCTATTCGATGTGTATGAAGGTGAAGGTGTTTTATTTTTTTCTCGTGTTTTTTACGCTCTGTCGTGTACTTAAACTTACTTCACAACAGCCAAATTGTCTACATGTGGGTTATGAATAACAAAAAAAAAAAAAAAAAAAAAGGACAGTTTGGGAAGAACAATGAATTAACTAAGTGTTTCAAACACAATGGGCAGCTAATGAATTCCAGCCCCAGATATTAGCA